ACTCTTGCGCACCATGATACAAAATGAAATTGAAGAAAATTTAAACATGAATTGAGTAGGTATTGAGTTTTAATCGATGTCTGGCAGCAAACAAATTTTCGTGAGTGGTCGTGTAAGGGTGGTGGTCGGAGTCTTCACTGTAACAACACGTTCGAGGCCATCTGAACCGGCGTGTAATTTGATGATTCTAGCCAGTAGCCATTTTGAAGGCGGATATCGTTTATCCTGGAGTAAAACCAACTGTCCCTCTCGAGGTAAATTTTTCGATTCGAACCATTTGGTGGGGATTTGCATTTTTTGTCGATAAGAACGTGACCAATTCTTCCAAAAGTCATCGATAATTTTCCGTAAGTGTTGCCACCGAGAGAGGCGAGATGTTTTCTCGTCGTAAAGAGATGCTTCGGGGACGACGTTAAGTGCAGTACCAATAAGAAAATGACCTGGTGTAAGAATTTCATAGCTGTTAGGATCATCAGATAACGAACAAAGGGGCCGTGAATTAAGAACCGCTTCTATTTGAACTAGTACTGTACTAAATTCTTCATAAGTAAGTAGAGTATTGCCAATAACTTTTCTTAAATGACCTTTTACAGATTTCACTCCGGCCTCCCATTTTCCACCAAAGTGGGGAGCCGCTGGCGGATTGAATTTCCATCTGGTACCGTTATCACTAAAAAGGTTGGCGAGCTTCTTGAACTGATTGGATGCTGCATTGAACATTGATCGTAGTTCTTTGTCTGCTCCGACAAAGTTTGTACCTCTGTCGCTATACATGCATTCGGAAATACCTCTTCGGCCTGTGAACCTCTTGTAAGCAGCAATGAATCCGTCTGTTGAGTAATCTGTAGCCAATTCCAAATGTACTGCTGAGGTACTTAAACAAACAAACAAGATTAAATAGCTTTTATACGTTTTATAGCTACGTCCTCGAACAGTTCGGAGAAAAAACGGTCCAGCATAATCAACGCCAGTATGAAGAAAAGGTCTCGATTGGTTAACTCGTGGGGAGGGAAGTTGGCCCATAAGTTGTTGGCTCGTTACCACACGTTGTCGAGCGCAAATCATACAACGATGAATCAGTGACTTAACGGAAACTCGACCACCAATGATCCAAAATCGACGTCTAATTGAAGCTAACGTGAGCTGTACACCACCATGCAATGTGGTTTTGTGGTAATAATCGATGATTAATGTAGTGATTGTAGAAAACTTCGGCAAGATAATAGGATGCTTTTCATCGTAATCCAAATTAGAAAACTGAAGTCGGCCTGTGATCCGCAAAAATCCATCCCCATCAAGGAAAGGGTTCAAACGATAGAGAGAACTGGTACGAGTGATGGTCCGCTTCGATCTTAGTAGAATAAGTTCTTCAGCAAACTCTAAATTTTGGCATTCTTTAACCCAAAATAGTAATGCTCGATTTAATTCATCTGCTGATAAAACTCCTGAAACACTCGAAAGAAGATTATTTTTGTCAAACACTCTTGCACACCACGCAGTCACTCTCAGGAGTCTTGTTAACGAAGAATACTTATTTTTTAAATCCCAGCCCTGGTTCTTCCGAATGGCTGGATAAGTTTTTAATTCATCGGATGGCTTTTCACGCCATAGGATTTGCTGAATGGGCCAATCATCCTGATGTACTCGAATCTGGCGATACATTTTCTCCAGATCGCAGGCAAACACAATCGGATGTCGCCTCCAACGTAAAAGTACATCAACTAATTCCGTCTGCAGTTTCGGTCCAACATTTAGACAATCATTCAAAGACAAACCCGAAGACGATTTTTGAGAACCATTAAAACAACTCTGAGTTTTGTTGTTGTACTAGATTCACGTATTACTCCATGATGAGGTAGATAAAAATGTGGTTGATCTAAGCAAGAAGTAATTTGGCGCATATGGTCGAGATCGAGGTATTCTTTCATAAATTTGCTGTATTCCGTTTTTAATTTTTCATTTTTAGCGAATCGTAACTCTAACCGATTGAATGACTTAAGCGCTATGTCAAGCGAATTTCCAAGCTCTTTCGGAGGCTTTCGAAACGGTAATCGAACAACAAATCTACCGGAAATATCACGATCATGAGTATTTTTAAAATGTTCTTCACATTCGTACTCCTCTGATGACGCATAAGAGTTTGATATTCTTCCTGTTTCCAGAATGATTGCATGACTTCGAGCAGCTCGTGATCAATGGAACAATTGAATCCGTAACGACTATTATCTGTTACTTGTTGGTCTGAGAGAATTCCCGAAATAATCCAACCCAAACTTGTCTGTTGGGCAACCAACGAACCGTCAATATTTTTAATAATACCGATTTCAATGATTCTTGAGTAAATACTGACTCCCAAAATTAATTCAATTTTAGTCGTTGAGCTGTATTCAGGATCGGCCAAATTTAATGAATCAAGATTGAAGTCTAGATTTATTGAACGTTTTTTTGGCAAGTATGAAGTTAATTTAGGCAAGATTAACGCTTCATCATTAAATGTTGTTTGATTATTTATTTTAGAAAATAAATTTATTCTTACGGACCCGTGAGACATGATCGTGCGTTGAGACCCAACTCCGGAAATTGGTATCGATGCTGTTTTTCGAGGTAAATTCAGCCTTTGAACTAAAGACTCTGATATAAAACAGACTTCTGAACCCTGATCTATCAACGCTCTCACAGTTACTGATTCGCCCGTTTCGGAAAATATCCCAATCATCGCAGTAGCTAAAAGTACTGGGGTGTTAATATGATGAGAGTTGATCAGGTGACTAGATGCTGAAGCAGAACGTTGCATGTTAGAACAACTTGGCGTGTTTTGATCGATTTGGTTAGGATCTGAATCTTTTACTTGAGTTGAGGTATTGATAGAAGGCTTTGAATCATGTAAGCTCGTATGATGGTTTTTATTACATAGTTTGCATCGTTTAATATTTCGACAATTTTTTCTCAAATGCGGTCCGAGACAATTGAAGCACAGATTTTTTGATTTGATAAAATCTGATCGTTGAATGGGTGTTTTTGAAAGGTATTGCTGACACATCGACAAGTAATGATTTGCGTTACACATTGCGCAACTTGCATTATAGGGAGTTGCATTATAAGATTTTACAATACCTTTCTGAACTGAACTTTGAAGAGGCTTTCTAATAAATGAGAATTTTTCAATTGACTCAAGAGCTCTCAAGCGGTTGAAAAGAAATTTTTCAAATTCTACATAAGATGGGGGTTCAAGATAACCTCCAATAACTTTTTCCCATTCTTTAATCGATTCTGAATCAAGCTTTCTTGTAAATAAATAAACTAGGAGATTGTCCCAATGTTCAACAGAACAATTTAATGCTTCCAAGGCACCTAATGCTTCTTTAATCTCTCCTAAAAATCGTTTAAGCTCGACTGATGATTCACTTTTCAGGGATTTTGAACTAAATAAAACTGCAAGCTGAGTGTCGATTAACAACCGGCGGTTTTCGTACCGATCTACCAAAATTTCCCAGGCTTTTGCCATGTTATCGTTTGTAATTAACAAATTTTTGATTAAACGAGCAGGTTCATTTATGAGGCACATTTTTAAGTACTGTAACTTTTCGACGTTGGAGATATTGTTATCTTGATAAACCATTGAATTAAATAAATCACGAAATTGAGTCCAGTTTGCGAAGTCACCGTCGAATTTCGGAAGATTAATAACCGGAAGATTACGAGTGCGAAATGGTGCTGTTTGAGCTTTTTCAGTAACGAGAACGTTTTCAGGTATTGAAAGTGACTCTTCGTTGCTCTCTAATAATTCAATCATTTCGCTTTTTGTATTTAAATAAGATTCTTCGCACAAAGAAAATAAATCTTCTGAAAAATATATTGTTTCGGTATAATCCAATTTATATTTAGATAAAAATTTATGATTTTCATTAAACTCTTCCCAGTTAACTTCTAGGCGTTCAAGACGGGTCTTTACGGCAGCGCGCGTGCGTTTCACGATCGCGAGTTTCTTTAGATTGTCTATTGTTCGGTTAATGAGTCCATATAAGTCATTTTGCCGTTCGAATAAAACGTCTGGATTTTTTGACTCGGTCATTTTAATTAACTAAAATATTACGTAGATATTGACACTATAACCGACCGATCAACGAAATTGAACGAAATAAAGATACACTAATTTTAAAATCTTGCAAATTTGTCTGAAAATCGCAAGATCCGGCACGAAGGACCAAAAAATGTCTAAATGTTCTGAATATTGTCTTACCTTTTTATATTTGAGACGCACACACTTTAACGAAAAAGAAGGATGAGATTAACACCGTTTTTATAGAAAAATGTATTGAGAATTCACTTTTACAGAGAACATTGACATATGTTGAAAAAGGTACGAATTGATAATTGTTGACAAAAAACAAAAACGAAAAAACGGCCATGGATACGGCCATGGATACGGTCATGGATATACAAATTAACTTTTAAACTTTTAACACCACGAATGCGACGTAAAACAATTTTACATCGCATAAACTAAAAATTTTTATACCATATTTTGAAGGTTTTGATGGTATATACTGTCGGAAGCCACAACGTCCACGAAAAGCAGGAAGCAATTCATCTATAGTCACATTTTGACCGAGATGATAATGCGATTTGCAATTTTCGTTGAACAAGGTGAATACTTCTCGAATGGCCGCCAACTTGTCAGTTCCATTCCTATGTCTTCGTGTAGACCAGGGGGGTGACACGACATAGGAATAAATTTATCCAAGTATGTAGTTCCCTGTCGCAACTATGGGTGGCGCTATCGTCGGTCTTTCGGCAATATTCGGCATTGTTCGTCCCGCCCGAGGTTTAATAATTGAAATTTTAAATCACTTATTTTATAAATTGTTATATGTTACCTAAGTAATGTATATATGAGAAAAGAATTACATATGTAAATATCCTATATTTATATGACTTTTTGAGAATAAATATCAAGAAAAAGAAATCGTAGAATCGTCATGGCGATATTAGTCATAGCTCTTGCTTGACGTGTGCTTCGCTTCACTTCGTTTTAGCTGAAGTTTTAGTGCGTTTTAGTGAAACTACGTTTACATCGTTTACATATATTATATCACTGTGTATAATTATATATCTGTGTGTAATTATGGCTGCAATCGCAGTAAGTATAAGATTATCCTAGCAAATATATAATTATAATCCCGTCACATGGTCATAATATAATAAAAATTAACTTAGAAAGATTTAATTTATGTGATTTTAGCAATTATGATTTATTGATTTATGATTGATATATGTGATTATGCTTTTAGCTAATTCGAGTAATTAATTGTTATATAAATAAAATATTTTGAAATGGTTAGGCCACTTCATTTACTTCAGAGAATATAGGGTTACAATAAATATTATTTGATTGTAAATGAATGAAAAGTTAAAATCTTATTCATTTTTTTATTAGGAAATAATTATTAAACAAATAATTATGTCCCTATAACTTGATAAAATTTTTAATAAGTTCTTAACCTTGTAATTTATAAATCATGACCAGAATCATACAATTCAACCAGATTCAACATAAGCAATTAATAATAACTTTGTTTTGGTTGTTATCCTCACATAGTAATAATTAAATTTAAATAAGTAAAATAAATTAAGTAACTAAAAAAATCTTGATGTTAAGTTCTTAACAAGTTCTAAAAGTATTATTTAATGCTTATTATTTTAGAAATTTATATTTTAAATGTCTAATAAATCCTAATCTACAGAGCTGTGTGGACAAACACTGTCCGACAAATTCATTGCCGCCCAAAGATCGACAACTGTTCTGCTTTCCAAGATCAGATGATCTGCGGCGGCAATGGTTGGAAAGAATGGGGAGGCCGGATCTTATGGACTGTACGTATGGTCAGTTACATGGGAGAAGGTTTTGTGTGTGTGAGCGGCACTTCGAGACCAACCAATTTCAAACACCAGCACGAAAGAAGTTGTCTGCACAACAACTACCTCGATGTTGAAAGTTTAGTTTCCCGATTCTCCTGTCAATCCTCCATCCGGTAAATCCATTCCTTGCATGTCTTCTGAATTGGAGACTCCTAAGTCGAGGAAGTGCAAAGGTAAATATTTAATTAAGTACAATTTAGTAATTAAATACAATTTCGTATTAATGTCATTTTCAGGTCGAACAACACGAGCATGTAAAGTTACCCCGAAGGAGTGGAAGCTGCTTACGAGACTAAAGAAGGCGGAAAATGTCTTGCGTTATCGGAGGAAGCGCATACAGTATTTGTCTCAATCCCAAAAAAATTATCTAAATCCCTTTTCCCCATCTAACTTAACCAATATCCAACAGATACATACCCTACCTAAACCTCTCCGAGTTTTTATTCTTTCCCTCCTTGGAAATTTCCATATATCCAAAAAAAACCGCCGTTATACCTTAGAAGAGAAAGCCCTATGGGGAATTCCTCTCCATTTTCAAACACGGTCCCNAGTGAGTGCAGTCCGAATTCACCAAATATTTACTGAGCATGTGCCAAAAATAGCTACAGTGTTACAAAATTTAATTTTTTGGCCTACTCCAAGAATGATAAAGAGAACAACGCCGATTCCATTTAGACGGAGATATAGTAAGGTACAATCTATTATTGATTGTTTTGAAATAGAAATTGAGAAACCATCGAATC